CTGCTCTAGTGTCCAAGCGCTTAACCAATGCACACCAGAGCTTTTTCCTTTCTTTTTTTTTTTTTTTTTTCTTTTATCAATAGTCTGTATTATATTCTCTCTAGTAACCAGATTATGGCTGGGATTTTTTTCCCCATTTTCCCTTTGTATTTGGTTTCAATACTAAGGTACATTCAATACCTTGACAACTTCACTTTTTCCCCTGTTTATCATGATGTTGCTTAGTCCAGCTAGCCAGTTATTTCTTATTTTCTTTTTTCCTTATACAATTCCTTTTAGTGACATTGGAAAAATATTGATTACATTTCTAAGCCCTTCAGTTTCCTGCCTGACTTCATAGATTCCAGAGATGTCTCTTAGACTTTTGTTGATAGTATCCCTGTGTGCTGGAAAGTGTCCATCATCTCGGCCCCACTATACCCTTCTATGACTTTTTCTTTACCACAGTAGTGGGAAGACTGAAAAACACATTTCTCAGGATCCTTTGCCAGCTGATATCCAATGAGATTGGTGTGTTTCAGTCAGAACATGGAAGGCTGGAGGAAAAGAGAAGCCTTTATTCTTGGCTTCTGCTATACCTGTGGCCATGACAGCAGCAGCCATGTCAGCAAGAGCAGGGGCAGCAAAGTTGTGATAGAAATAGTAACTAGCATTTGCAGACTTGGGAGGAACATGGAAATGAGGGTGGCTGGTAAGTGTGAGTAGCTGATGTCCTGCTCAGGCAGCAGTGTCCCACCAGAAGCAGCTTTGGTGACACATTGTTCATGGGATCTGAGTAAAATCAAAACCTATCTGTCCTCCAGCCTAGGTGTAATAGCTAATGTTAGGTGCCATTGAGACTATTTCAACTCTTAGTTACTCCATGTACAGAGTAGGAATTGCCTGATAGGGTTTTCTGAGCTGTAATTTTTATAGGGGTAGATTGCCAGGTCTTTCTCTCTTGGAGCCACTGGGTTGATTTGAACCAACAACCTTTCGGTTAGTAACCGAGCACTTTACTGTTATGTGGGCTCCTTAGGTGAGAAACCAAAACCTGCAAACAACAATCTTTGCATAACCTAATCTTCCTGGTTTTGCCTCTCCAGCCCATTCCAATTCTTTTGTAACTAATTCCCTGTATTAAATTCCCTCTCTGTCACATACCTAACTTTGTTTCTGCTTTCCTGATTGGGCAGGACTAATGCACCCTGTGTTGAGTCATGCCTGTGCAATAGGCCTGTACAGCAGCCTGCAGATATGGTATCCTGGAAAAACATTCAAGGGAGACTCAGTTGACAATGTCACCTCTCCATACAACTGTTCTTTTTCTCTCTGTAGAGAATCACCAACCTCTCAGATACAATGACAGGTCTTGTCATATTCAGTGGCATTTACAGATTCTTGATTATGCCATGTTTATTTCCCAGAAGGTCTGTATTCAAATAATTGAAAAAAACCTCAAATCTTCTGTGTCACTTGACCCACTCACTTCCTTTCTTCTTTAAGCTATATACAGTTTGATTCACCGTGTTTATCTCTCTATTTTTTCCCCCTTCAGCTTCTTAAGAATTTTTAATTTATAGTTTTCTTTTGGTATTTCTTCTTCCATTTTCTCTAGGAACTTTTCATCTTAGAGATAAACTGGCATTCAAAAGGAGAATTCTCAGGAAAGAAAGGGAGTCTGTAGCAATAATTCTAGTACAGATGAAGGAAAAATGCTGTGTTCATAAGTCAGGTTAAAATATGATGCTTATGCTGATGAGGTCAGTATGGGCAAGAATCTTGTGCCAAAGGTTAATTATCATTGTGTGTTGCCTCAACCAAGATCAACCACAGAGAATATCTCACCCTCAAATGGTGAAAAAGAAACATTATCTTGGCAGAGGGAACAATTCCACACATTACCACAGTCAAATTCATTCTCACACCTCTGTAGTTAGAAAGTTTTCCTTCATCTTTCTGAACAATGGAGGTAAGAGGCTATTGTCTCCAAATCTAGAAAATACTCTTGCAATGGCCTGTTGTCCTACTGGATTTCTTGACCTTTAATATTCAGCGTCTCCGTCTCCAGGCACGTCCCTCCCTGGGTCTACATAGAACACAGATATGATGGACTTAGAAGTTGATACTTGATTAGATTCAAATTTGGAAGAAGAAGAAATTACCCTGTGCAGTTGAACGTTGTCCAAAAGCAGGGCAAGGCATACAGCCAATTTTACAAAGCTCTCTGTTTCATCACATGATGTTGCTTGGATATCAACCTATCAACAGACTGAATCACCACCACCACCATATGAAGAAAAGAGACCTTGAGAGGAAATGAAATTGAATATAAATGCCAGCTTTTTTTAAAAAAGAAAACTACAAAACAGGGTAAGTTCTTTTTAAGCAAATCTGTCTTTTTGTTTCAGATATGTTAATTTGTAGATGTTTCCTCCCTGAATTCACCAGGCATTTTAATCATACTTTATCTGGTATAGACCACTTGATTAGGTAAGATGTATTTCTTCAGCAATAGCCCAAGAAATGCACACCTGAGTTGTTGGCACAAGAAAGCTCATCTGCCATTTCCATATGCTATTTGAGGAGAGAAGACATCTTTCCAGATTGAGGAAGATTTATTCTCTGCTCTACAGATCTGGAAAATGGGAGGAGGGATATGGTGATGATTTGAGTAGAAGATAGAATGCAAGTTTCCATCACAGAAGATATAAACCAGTATATCTTGGTTGGCATGGTTTCTGGAATCCACTTTGAAGGAAAACAGTATCAAATAAAATATTTATAGTGTAATTTATAAATTTCTATCATGGAAACAAGACACATGGAGGTGTTGACTGATCTTTCCCTAATAAACCCCTCTTCTGGAAGATTGGAGCATTAGGTCTGTAAACGAAGAAACAATTGGAGTTTCTCACATATTAAATTACTTCTTAAGCATGTGTGTGTATGTATGAGTGTGCAAGTGCCTGAACATGCATGAGCACACACTAAGATAGAGAGGGAAGACTGCCATAAAGTGGAAACATTCTACATTTATGATATAACTTAATCAAGCAGCTCTATAACAAGTAAGCATTGTAATGGCCATTGTACAGATAAGAGGATGGAGGCTAACAAAAGGTAAGAAACTCACGTCTGTTTGGTTCTAAAGGCCATCCTACCTCTATTGCAGTTTCGTTTCTTCAGTTAGAGTATAGAAGAGGTATTGAGGATGTTTATAGAATCTAGTAATTTATTAGGAGCTCTGGTAACATAGTGGCTAAAGCACTTGACTGCTAACCAGAAGGCTGGAGGTTCAAACCCACCAGCCACTCCTCGGAAGGAAGATGGGGCAATCTACTTCCGTAGTGATACTGCCTAGGAAACCCAAGGAGGGGTCGCTATGAGTCGGGACCGACTCCACGGCACATAACAACAACAACAACAACAAGTAATTTATTAAGGAGCCCTGGTGGCACAGTGGTTAAGTGCTCGGCTGCTAACCAAAGATTGGCAGTTGGAAACCATTAGCCACTCTGTGAGAGAAAGATGAGGCAGCATGCATCCATAAAGTTTTACAGCCTTGGAAATCCTGTGGGGTAGTTCTACTCTGTCCTATAGAGTCACAATAAGTCAGAGTCAACTCGAAGGTAAAAGGTTTGGTATTTGCTTTGTTATTATATTTGCCTTTGGTGTGTTGTTCCTTCCTATCACTTATAGTTTACACTACTTACTGAGAAGGCAAAAGAGTGAGTAGAGGAAAAATATACTAGGGGTTTCCATTCTGTCCCTTGGCTGTCCTATTTCAATATGTCTTTTCTTCCTTAATTGTGAACTTTAATTTTTTATTATTTTATTCACCTCCGATTCTAAAACCTAAAGACCTAAATATTGATGGTGTGATTCCTTCATTTTATACCCTTGTCAAGTAAGTCATAAGCAACATGGCTAGGATTATTTTAAAGCACCCAAAAACCCAAAACCAAACCCACTCCCATCTAGTCGATTTTGACTCATAGCCACTCTCACTGGGTTTCCGAGGCAGTAAATCTTTACGGAAGTAGACTGCCCAGTCTTCCTTCCATGGTGTTGCTGATGGGTTTGAATCACCAACCTTCTGGTTAGCAGACAAATGCCTTAGGCACTGTGCCACCAGGGCTCCTTATTTTAAAGTACAGTGCTGTGAAATTACAAACTAAATGTGCAAGCAATAGAAAATGATGTGAAAAGTATATGATACTGCTTCTAAGAATCATATTTTGAAGATCACTTGATGACATGGGAAAAATACAACTCACTTTCCTGAAATCACACAATGTGCCCAGGAAAAAAAAATTAAACAAATGCCAACAGTAGTTATGAATAGGTATGTTGTTGTTGTTGTTGTGTGCCATCGAGTCGGACCCGACTCGTAGCGACCCCTCCTTGGGTTTCCGAGGCAGTATCACTATGGAAGTAGATTGCCCCGTCTTCCTTCCGAGGAGTGGCTGGTGGGTTTGAACCGCCAGCCTTCTGGTTAGCAGTCAAGTGCCTTAGCCACTATGCTACCAGAGCTCCCATGAATAGGTATAGTATATGTAATTTTATTTTCTTCAATTTCAAATTTTTCCAAATTTTCCAAAATGGCATATATTGCTTTTAAAATAAGAAAAGGCAGTATATGTCATTAAAACCACCAAGAAATAACTATTGTAGTCATGATATGGCTATAGCTCACCTGTTCTAAATAAAATGTCATGTTCAATGGCTCCTCATATAGAAGGTGATCTTGAAATTCTAGAGACCCTAGTGAAGCAGTAAGACAAAGGGCTTGTATTATTCCTTCCACAAATAAGGGATGGGATAAGGGAAAGTGCAGAACTAGACAGACAGTCTATTTAAGTCTAATTACTCTGCAGCAGGTAAGAAAACATTTTCATCCATTAAAATAATATTTACTTGTTTATTTACTTCCTCACTTAGGTACATCCCCAAAATTGGATGAACAAAATGAAATCTTATCCTATACTTTGTTTTTCCTTGGAGGTATAGGATAAAGAATGGGAGAAAACTGGAAAAGACAACAAAGGCTTCCGAATGCTCCACAAATTCCTTGCATTCGAGTACCTCCCTTTGCCTCAGACACATCATTAATGAAGGTGTAGTATATTTTGCCTAAGGCACTTGACTGCTAACCAGAAGGCTGGTGGTTCAAACCCACCAGCCACTCCTTGGAAAGACGATTGGGCAATCTATTTCCATAGTGATATTGCCTTGGAAACCCAAGGAAGGGTCACTCTGAGTTGGGTCTGACTCGACAGCACATAACAACAACAATAACAACAAAAGCATATTTATTATTCACAGATGGAAAGACTATGTCTTTCTCTCCTCCAATGTTTGCTAATCACCATCAGGCTGAGTATTTTGTCCAGTTCAGGCCCTTAATGTATGTTAAAGGCATGTTTGAGTGAATGAATGAAAATTTGGAGTGCTCTGCACCAAGAGAACAATGGTGGTTTAGTGGTAGAATTCTCAACCACCATGCAGAAGACCAAGGTTCAATTCCTGGGCAATGTACCTCATGCACAGCCCCACCCAGCTGTCAGTGGTGATTTGTGTGTTGTTGTGATGCTAAACAGAACTTGTAGACTAAGATGAATAAGGAAGAAAGGCCTAGTGATCTACTTCCAAAAATCAGCCAATGAGAACCCTATTGGTTACAATGGTTTAATCTGCAGAGGATCATGGGATGGCATAGAAATGGGCAATGGTTAATTCTGTTGTGTATGGAAACACCATGAGCCAGGGGCTGATGCAAAGACAGATAACACCACTAACTCCTACAACCATCCCATATCAGGAGCTCTGGTAGTTCGTTGTCTCTTTATTGCTGACACACTACTAGTGATGGGAAACTAAATGACCACACTATGGCTGCACTGTTGGAGGACTATGTGTTTTGAGTTTTAGCTCCTTTCAGTCAAATTTAGTTAAAGCCATTCCCATAAATAATGTTTGTAAAAATTTCAGGTCTCTTTTATAATCTAAAGGGAGGATGAGTGATAGGATAAGAATATTAGGAATATTACTCCTTACTTCTCATTTAGGAAGTTGAGAGTTTTACTAGGGAAAAGATGTTAGCATATTTTTCTTGTAAAATAAAACCATAACTTTTAATGCTTTATCTTGTATAATGCAAGCTCCCACTGCATTTTGTAGCTTTGTTCTTGAAGGTGGCTTGCAATTTTCATTTTCTATTGTTCTCAATCATTTGAAAAGGCTTAATTAGTTATTCAGAAATGGAATCCTTTCTCTTCTTCAAATATATTACCTTTTAAAATATCTTATTCAGAAACTGTAAAGTTGAAATAATATCTCAAATTGTGAGGTACTTACTTTTTCTATTTTCAGGCTGGATATATTTTTAATATAAAAATATGAGGTCTTTAGACCACACAAAAAATTCTGACACAGATTTCAACTGCACATAAAATTTCTAACAGGTCAGTCATCTTACCCTATGTTTTATATAAATTTTCTTAAATTTAGCTTTTTATTAGATGTCTTTACATGATTAACAACTATTTTAGAAAAATTCTATCATTGTTTTTGATATTTTGATGGAAGGTGAACTTATTTTATATAGATTTTCTAGAGTATTGTTGCCACTACCTCATTTTCCTCATTTGAAAAATAAGCACAATAATTGCCCATATCATAGGATTGTTGTGATTTAGGAAACTATGCATGCAAAATATTTAGCATCACATATACACAATACTTGAGATGTATTAGATATGATAATAATTGTATTCTAAACTCTTCTCCTTCCTGTCTAGCATTACTATTATTCCCAGCAGGGCCAACATAATGTTTCTCAAATGCAAGTCTTGTCAGTTTAAAACAGAATTTCTCAATCTTGACACTATTATTATTTTGGCCTAGATTATTCTTTGTTGCAAGGGATTAGGGGGCTCTCTTGTGTATTGTAGGATGTTTAGCAGCATTTCTGGCCTATACCAACTAGATGTTAGTTGTACCCCTCCCACTCAGTTGTAACAACCAAAATAATCTCCACACATTCCCAAATGTCCCTTGGGGCCAAAATCATTCCAATTGAAAACCACTGCCTTAAATAAAGATATTTAATGGCTTCTTGTATAAAAGGTGAACTTGAAATCTTAACATAACATAAAAGTTTGCCACAATCTTCCCCTACCTAACTCTACAGGCTTTTCCACTGAGACTGTATGCTCCAGTTAAGCTAAAAAACAAAAAAGAGAAAAAAAAGCCTATTTCCCAACATATTCAGATATGTTATACCCCGTAATAGAATTTATACCAGTTTCTCCCTCTGTCTATAATTAACACTCAAGACTCACTGCCATTGAGTCAGATCTCACCCATAGCGACCCTTCCCTGGGTTTCCAAGGCAGTATCACTATGGAAGGAGATTGCTCACTCTTCCTTCCAAGGAGTGGCTTGTGGGTTTGAACCACCAGTCTTCTGGTTAGCAGTCAAATGCCTTAGGCATTACGCCACCAGAGCTCCCATCTTAGGTATTAATGAGCTGAAATGGACTGGTTTTGGCCATTTTAAATCAGATAACCATATGATCTACTATGCCAGGAATGACAAATTGAAGAGGAATGGTGTGATGTTCATTGTCACAAAGAATGTTTCAAGATCTATCCTGAAGTACAATGCTGTCAGTGACAGAATAATATCCACACACTTACAAGGAAAGCCAGTTACTACTACTATTATTCAAATGTATACACCAACCACCAAAGCCAAAGATGAGGAAATTGAAGATTTTTACTAACATCTTTGGTCTGAAGTTGACCAAACATGCAATCAAGATGTGCTGATTATCACTGGTGACTGGAATGTAAAAGTTGGAAACAAAGAAGAATCACCAGGAGTTGGAAAATTTGGCTTTGGAGATAGAAATAATGCTGGAGATAGCATGATAGAATTTTGCAAGACCAATGACTTATTCATTGCAAATACCTTTTTTCAACAATACAAATGGCAGCTATACATGTGGACTTCACCAGATGGAGTACACAGCAATCAGATTGACTACATCTGTGACAACAGGTGATGGAGAAGCTCAATATCTTCAGCCAAAACAAGGCCAGGAGCCAAAACAAGGCCAGGAGCTGATTGTGGAACAGACCATCAACTGCTCATTTGCAAGTTCAAGTTGAAATTGAAGACAATTAAAACAAGTCTATGAGAGGCAAAATATGACCTTGATTATATCTTTCTGGCATTTAGAGACCATTTAAAGAATAGATACGATGCATTGAACACCAATGACCAAAAACCAAAGGAATTGTGGGATGACATCAAGAACATCATGAAGAAAGCAAAATGTCATTAAAAAGACAGGAAAGGAAGAAAAGACCAAAATAGATGTCAGAAGAGACCTGAAACTTGATCAAAATGGAGAGTAGCTAAAACAAAGGGAAGAAATTACAAGATAAAAGAGCAGCTCAAGAAGACAAAGTCAATTATTACAATGAAATGTGCAAAGACATGGAGTGGGAAAGCCAAAATAGAAGAACACACTTGGCATTTCTCAAACTGAAAGAACTGAAGAGGAAATTTAAACCTCAAGTTGCAATATTGAAAGATTCTATGGGCAATATATTGAGTGATACAGGAAACATCAAAACAAGATGGAAGAAATATACAGAATCACTGTACCAAAAAGTATTGGTTGATGTTCATCCATTTTAGGAGGTGGCATATGATGAAGGATATTGAAGGAAGAAGCCAAAGCTGCACTGAGGGAAGTGGTGAAAAACAAGGCTCCCTGAATTAATGGGATACCCATTGAGATGTTTCAACAAATGGATGCCATACTAGAGCCACTCACTCAGCTACAATAGGAGGTTTGGAAGACAGCTACCTGGCCAACTGACTAGAAAAGATCCATATTTTTACCCATTCCAAAGAAAGTTAATCCCACAGAATGTGGAAATTATCAAACAATATCATTAATATCACATGCAAGTAAGATCATGCTGAAGATAATTAAAAAACGGTTACAGCATTACATTTACAGAGAACTTCCAGAAATGCAAGCTGGATTCAGAAGAGGACATGGAACATGGGATATCATTGCTGATGTCAGATGGATCCTGGCTCAAAACAAAGAGTACCAGAAAGAGGTTTACTTGTGTTTTATTGATAATGCAAAAACATTCAATTGTGTGGATCATAACAAATTATGGGTAACATTGAGAAGAATGGGAATTCCAAACACTTAATTGTACTCATGAGGAACCTGTACATAGACCAGGAGTCTGTCATTTGAACAGAACAAGGGGACACTGCATGGTTTAAAATCAAGAAGGGAGTGCATCAGGATTGCATCCTTTCACCATACTTATTCAATCTGTATGCTGAACAAATAATCATAGAAACTCGACTATATGAAGAAGAATGTGGCATCAAGATTGGAGGAAGGCTCATTAACAACCTATGTTATGCAGACAATGCAACTTTGCTCACTGAAAGTGAGGATGACTTGAAACACTTACTGATAAAGATTGAAGACTGCAGTCTGCAGTATGAATTACACCTCAATATAAAGAAAACAAAAATCCTTACAAAGAGACCAATAAACAGCATCACGATAAGTGGAGAAGCATGAAGTTCTCAAAGGCTTCATATTACTTGGTTCTACAGTCAACAACAATGGAAGCAGCAGTCAGGACATCAGATATAGCATTGGGCAAATCTGCTTCAAGGGACCTCTGTCAAGTGCTGAAGAGCAAAAATGTTTCCTTGAAGACTAAGGTGCACTTGACACAAGCCATGGTATTTTCAGTTACTTCATATGCATGTGAGAGCTGTACAACGAAACGGGAAAACCAAAGAAGAGTCACTGCTTTTGAGCTGTGGTGTTGGCGAAGAATGCTGAAAGTACCATGGACTGCTAAAACAAATAACAGATCTGTCCTGGGACAAGTGCAGCTAGAATGCTCCTTGGAAGTGAGAATGGCCAAACTTCATCTCACCTACTTTGGTCATGTTGTAAGAAGGGATCATTCCTTGGAGAAGGATATCATGCTTGGCAAAGTGGAGGGACAAGGGAAAAGGGAAGGTCTTCAATGAGATGGATTGACACAGTGACTACAAGGACGGGTTCAGGTATAGCAAGGATCGTGGGGCTGGCACTGGACTGGGCAGTGTTTCATTCTGCTGTCCATGAGGTTGCTATGAGTCAGAGATGACTCAGTGGCACCTAACAACAACAACAACAAGTTCCCAGAGTTGCCAACACTTCAGGTTGAGGGACCATCCTTTTAGAACCAGTATTCTAGTCCCTGGGTAGTGTGAACGTTTAACACATTGGCTGCTAACTGAAAGATTGGAGGTTTGAGTCCATCCAAGAGGCTTCTGAGAAGAAAGATCTGACTATCTACTTCCAAAAAATCAGCCACTGAAAACACTGAGCTCAGTTCTACTCTGACACACATAGGGTCTCCATGAGTCAGAATCCACTCAACAGCAACTGGCTTTTAATCTAGTCCCTTTAGGGAGTTCTTTTCACCCTGTTAAGACTCAGATGTGGTGTCCAAGTCATTTAGAGAGCCTTCCTTGATGGCTACAGAGTTTGTTTTCCATCTGTTTTCACAGTGCCTTTGTACAGAAGATGTGGAACACATCATATTATCCATCTATTCATCTATCATGTCCCTGCTCACTGAGAAGTCTTAGGAGAAAGGATTTTTTTACCCAACTTTGTATTCAGAAGTCTGTCATGCTTCAGGCCTTGTGTAGATTCTCACAGTCTATCCTTCAACACAGATTATAATAGATCAATAAATTATAAGATCTTTGGAAATCTTGGATCTCCTTCAGCCCAATAACTTGAGCTACTTACCCTGAGTAAGTATTGAGTACTTACCTTGAGTAAGTAAGTAAGTAAGTATTGAGCTACTTACCTTGAGTAAGTAAGATTGAATGTTTTATTTACCTATTTTCACCATCATACAGTTCAGTAGAAGATTATTCAAGCAAACTAAGAGAGGAACATATACATATACATGCATGTATAGTTGTTAGTGCTAGTTGCTTTCCAGTTGGTTTTGACTCATGGTGATCCTGCATAACAAAAACAACTGCTGCCATGTCATACTCTATCTCTTCGATCACTGGTATGTTTGAATCCATTGTTAAAGCCACTATATATTTTGAGTAACTTCCAAAATAAGGAACTCCCAGCACTACATTGAATAATATTCTGTTGTGGTCTGTAGATTTTTACATTTGCTAATTTTCAGAAGTAGATCACCAAACCTTTCTTCCTAGTCTGCCTTAGTCTGGAAGCTCTGTCAAAACCTGTCTATCTTGGGTGACCCTGATAGCATTTGAAATAACAGTGGCATAGCTTCCAGCATCATAACAACATGTAAGCCACCACAGTACAACAAATTTACAGAATAAGTAGATCATACATGTCCAAATTGACTTGACAGCAACTAACAAAAAAATATATGGCACTCTTATAGCACAAATTAAGTGCTGTCTGGTAACTGAAAGATTACTGGCTAGAACATATACATTGTCTCTGTGGGAGAAAGACCTGGCTATCTGCTTTCTTAAAGATTACAGTGAAGAAAACTCTATGAGGCAATTCTATTCTGTAACATATGAGATTGCTATGAGTGAGAATTGACGCGTTGATACCTAACAATATATATACCAAGATAAGCATTATTTCTGTGGAAGTCAGTTTTGAACACTTCACACTTTTAATCTTATAGAACCTCCTAAACTCATCAAAATCATCTGTTCTGCTCTGGCAGGACCTGACCCGAGGGCAGCAGGGCTACTTCTATAGCATCATGAGGATTTACAGTTGTAGACCCCAGTGGGAGGCCCTGCAGGCTCGCTATGTTCATAGCCTTCAGCACCAGCAGCTGTTGGGTGAGTTTAACCACCTGATCTGAATCAGAATCATTGAGAAGGGATTCAAGTTCTGCAGTGTGAAGCCAAGTTCCCAGAGAAATAATTCAGATAGAATGGCCTCTCTCAAAGTGCTATTTTATCAACATGGTTGGCTGGCCAAGTTCAAAAATGATCATCCCTGACAATAGAAAGCAAGGATTTATGGGTAAATTAAGAGAGCTTAAAGAAATTGGAGTATGGATTGCAATAAAATGCTAATAACCCTCTGAGATTTATAGGAATTTGATGTTATGCAAATGGCTACTAATAAAAAGGCTGGAAGGCTGGAGGTTAGAGTCCACTCAGAAATGTCTTGGAAGGAAGGCTTGACAATCTACTTCCAAAAAAAGCAGCCACTGAAAACCCAATTGGAGCACAGTTTAACTCTGACATGCATGGGCTCACCATGAGTAAGGGTTGACTCCATGGTAACTGTCCCCTCACCCCTTTGGTTTTGATTTAGTAGAAATGGCCTTCAAAAAAAAAACAAAACTCACTGCCATTGAGTCAGACACTACTCATAGCAACCCCCCCCCCTTAGGTTTCCGAGGAGGTATCACTATGGAAGTAGATCACCCAATCTTCCTTCTGAGGAGTGGCTGGTGGGTTTGAACTGCCAGCCTTCTGGTTATCAGTCAAATGCCTTAGGATCTATGCTACCAGAGCTCCTAGAAATGGCCCTGGACTTAGGAAACTAGCCTGAACTCAGCCACAGCTTGCTGGTTATGTGAACTCAGAACCTCCATTGGCTCTCAATAATAGTTACCTGTATTCAGCATTTACCATGTGCCAAACATTGTGCTAGGCACTCCCCATGTTGTACCTCATTTTCTCCCTTCTTTAGAGCTGTAGGAGTCCCTGGGTGGTACAAGTGGCTAGGCACTCAACTGTTAACCCAAAGGTTGGTGGTTAGAGTCCACCCAAAGGTGCCTCAGAAGAAAGGCCTAATGATCTAATTCCAAAAATTCAGCCATTGAAAACCCTATGGAACACAGTTGACTCTGACACACAGGGGTTTGCCATGAGTCAGAATCAACTCGATGGCAACTGGTTTGAGTTTTCAGTTTTACAGCTGTGGAAAATTGAAGCACAGGCAGGTTATGTGACTTAATCAAGATTGTGCAGGCAGTAAATATCAGAGTTAGGACTTGAAGTCAGAGGTGTCACACTCCAAGGACCATACCTTTTTACCTATACACTCTGCTTTCTCTCCTCTTCTGTCAACCTTGTCAGATTTTATGAAGCACAAGTTAAATAAGACCTTCATAGACTAAATGCACCTACTTATGGAAAGGTGTAATTGTTGTTAAATCCCTTTTCCTTTACAGAATGGTTTTGGTCTCCAGCTCCCTTCTATTATGCTCTTCTCTGAACAGAGAAAGAGCTTATTTTTCAAACCATTTGTTTGTCATTAGCACATGCTACCTTGTGTTGTTGTCCCTGTATTTACACAAAGAAAAGACCATTTTAGCAAATAGTTTCATAAAAACTGAGGGCTTTGTATGCTTTGTATGTGTCAGGCACTGTTCTAAACACTCTGCATATATTACCTTATTTAAACCTCTAATACCTCTTCATGGTAGGTGCTTTTCTGATTCACATTTTACAGAAGAGAATGTTGGCATATGGATAAGTTAGCTAATTTGACCAGGGTCATGCAACCAGTAAATAGTGGAGTCAGGATTTGGTCTGATTCCATGACTATCTGAAACGTTGCAGAAATATCATCTAGTAGGTCTGTTTATAAATTTTCATGGAAGTCAATGAACCCCAGAACCAGAGACATTCAACATTTTACCAGTTGTCATGAAGTTGATTCTGACTCATGCCAAGCCCATGTGTATCAGAAAAGACATTTGCTCCAATCTTATGGATTTTCAATGAGTCATTTTTTGGAAGTAGATCAAGAGGACTTTCTTCCAAAGTACCTCTAGCTAGATTCACACTGTGAACCTTTCAGTTAGCAGCCAAGTACATTAACTGTTTGCACCTCCTATTCAACACTTGTTGTTGTTGTTGTGTGCCATAGAGTCAATTCCAACTCATGGTAGCATTGTAGGACAGAGTATTACTGCCCCATAGGTTTCCTAGGTGCTCTGGTAGCATAATACCTAAGACACTTGACTGCTAACCAGAAGGCTGACAGGTCAAACCCAGCAGTCACTTCTCAGAAGGAAGGTTGGGCAATCTACATCTCTAGCAATATCACCTCGGAAACCCAAGGAGGGGGTGCTATGAGTCGGGTCCAACTTGATGGCACATAACAACAACAACAACAACAACACAGAGTTTCTTAGGCTATAATCTCTACTGAAGCAAAGATTGTCAGATGTTTTCTACCACAGTGCCACTCAAACCAAAAAAACAGACTTATTGCCATCAAGTCAAATCTGACTCACAGCAACTTCCACTGGGTTTCTGAGGCTGGAAATCTTTATGGAAGTACATTACCCCATCTTTCTTCCATGGAGCTGCTAGTTGGTTTGAACCACTGACCTTCTGGTTAGCAGCCAAATGCCTTATCCACTATGCCACCAGAGTGCCACCAGAGGGTTCAAATTGAGAAAATTTCAATTCAGCATTTAGAGCTCATAAAAGTCACCAATATATCTTATTAAAATGTAGATTATCAGGCTTAACCTTCTGAGTTTCTGATTTAGGCTTTTGGAGTAGACTCAAAAATCTGCATTTTTAACAAAGCATTTTTCAATTGCACTTGACCTCAGCCAGGTGATTCTACAGTAGAGGATCTGCAGATTATACTTTGAGAAGTACTGAGGAAGATCTGATAAACATGTTTCTAGTTTGAAAAAAAAGGTTGATATTGAGATAAGCAATTCATACAAAGCTTCCTTAAGGCTCAAGTCCCTTCCCAAGGGATTTTTCATGTTAATCAATGATTATTTATTAACTTACTAAATGATAAATGTAAAAGAAGAAAAATCCAGTGCCTATCCTCAAGATTGTACAATCTAGGCAATCTAAGGGCAATGGTCATCCCTTTCCATGTCTGAGAAGTAAAAGAAATTATGTTCACATATGCTAATGTTTGCAGTTTTGTTTGCTTTCTTGTTTGGTAAAATTGTTGACTTTGAAGTTTCTCTCATTTCTTCTTCCTAGGCTATATTACTCAACAGGAAGTCTTGGCTTATGCTGCTGTGCTGAGAGATTCAACCAAGAGAGCTTCAGCCAAGGCAGTCCATCAAAGAGCCATCCAACCTCAGAAAGCTTCAGCCCTGGCAAGAAAATGGCCACCAGCACAACCCGTGTTTGTGCTTCAACCCAGGGCCCATAGCACAAGGCTCTGATCCCTCAGGAACCATGGTTTCTCAGGTTTCTGTGGTGTAAACCCACCAGTCTCTCCTTGCAAGGAAGGTTGGGCAATCTACTTCCTTAGTGATACCGCCTCGGAAACCCAAGGAGGGGTCGCTATGAGTCAAGTCTGACGCGACAGCACATAACAACAACAACAACACTGTTAGTTGATACAGAGTCAGCTCCAACTCCTGGTGGCTGCATGTGTAATGAAATGAAACTTTGCCCAATCCTGTGCCATCTTCCTGACCATTGGTAGGTTTGAGTCCATTGTTGTGGTCTTTGGTTCAATCCACCGTACTTAGGGTTTCCCTCACCCTTGCAGATCCCGTATTTTCCATCACATTATGTCCTTTTCTAGCCATCAGTCCCTCCTGTTGAAGCATCCAAAGTAAGTGAGCTGAGGTCTCACACAATATTCCATGATCCATAGGGTTTTCATTGCCTAATTTTTGGAAGTAAATTGCCAAGTCTTTTGTTCTAGTCTGTCTTAGTCTGGAAGCTCCACCAAAACATGTTTACCATGAGTTACCCTGCTGGCATTACAACTATCAGTGGCATAGCTTATAGCATCATAGCAACATGTAAGCTACCACAGTACAATAAACTGACAAGTAGTTGGTGGTCCAGCATACAGTGAGTGCTTAGTGCATATATGTTGAATGAAAATAAATACGAAAATCACGTCTAATACACACCTCAGACCTAGAAATAAGCTCTCTCCCATTCACATGAACTTTACCAGCAACAAGATGTGAAGGTTAAGGAGCAATGGAGCTGAGAGTAAGCATGTCTTCCCACAAATTGTCTGTGGCATAAAATTGCTTTGAAAGCTTCAAAGTAAAAGCTCCCTTTGAATAAGAACCTCCCAGAGAAATCCCAAGAACAATGAGAGGGGATAAGTGACCAGAGGGCACCAGGACCTCTATCACTGTGAACATTACCTTACAAGCCACACACTGCACTTGTTGAACTTTGAAAATACACAAACCAGCAGGGAGTTACACTGGCATACAGCCATAGCATCCCAGCAGTCATTGGATTGTGCATTTCTGTGCCCTCCTTCCTATCTTCTTCCCCATTAAGTAAGAGCATTCAATTTGCCCCAAAACTTCTGGTTCTTGCCTGACTTGATCACTTGTGTCACCATGAAACTTGGACTTGATTCTGCACAGGTGTAATTGACCTTGACAGGAATAAGAGAAATCACACACATACCCCTTCCCCTGACAGCTAAAGAAACACTCTCGGCAGGACAAAGAAATAGCCTCAAAGAATCAATCTCAAGTCTACCTTCCTGTAGCTTAAATGGTTTTAAACAAAGCACACAAGACTATATAAATAAGCAAAAATGAGATAATAGTGAGTCAAATCATCACACAAATGGTATAGTATTATATCAATTATATTTAATACTTATTTTCATACCAGTGATTTTTTGTGTGTTAAAAATTAGCAGTATTCACATAAAGTCAAAAAAAAAACCCTCTTCTTCATCTTTGTTTTTAAATGTTCCACCTCCTCCCTTGTTCAATTCAATCAATGACTTTGTGATTCCCATGAAAGGAGTTGGTGAAGATGGAATATAAATTTGCTGAGAAGGGATGGAATAACATTGATCTGAAGGAAGATGCTACAATATTGCAATGAAAAAAATCTTACCATTAATACTTTGATTTTCTTTCTGCAATCATTAACATAACAGATATGAAAATTATAATAATATTCTGAAAACCCCTGATACTAGTTCTAAGATCCAATCTGACGCTTGTAGGGAAGGACAAGGAGCATGGCTGGTCCACTAGTCTGATTTTACCTTAGAGTTTTTTTTTTTTTTTAATGGGACATATATATGTGCTGTGTAAGCCTTAGCTAGTGATGCAGAATATCAAGGAGGCCACTTATGATTCTGAGCTGCATCCTTGCATCAAAAATCTTAGAGGCACCTTGTTTCAGATGGGAACTTTTAAGGGCTGATTGGCAGATGAATGTCACAGTTTCATGAGAAGGACAAAAATATCTAGGTTGGTGCAAAAGTTCCCACTTGCTGACTCAGTTCTTTCTTCTGAGAATATAATGACCCCTCTCTTCAGCTCCAAATCCAAAGCTTATAAGGAATGTTATTGGCTGTGGTGCCATAACAAAGCACTCAATGAAACATAAGAGGAAGAGGGAAAGATGGCCCATTCAGGAACAAAAGAAGGCAACAGACGCCAACCTTGAGGAAGATCTTAAGTTGTGCCTACTAGTTACAAATTTTAAAATAACTGTTTTAGACATGATCAAAGAACTAAAGGAAAATATGGACAGAAAATTAAGAGAAATCAAGAAAATAATGTAGGAAAAAATTAAGAAAATTAAGCATAGAGATAGAAATTCTAAAAAGAAACAAAACACACGTTCTAGAGCTTAGAGGTACAATAATTGTAGTGACTTGGATGGACACTACAAAAGATGATCAAAGGTGAACAAAGGACAACCTGCAACTTTTAGGACAGTTTACTACTTTGGAGATGACTTGAAGCACTTATTGATGAAGCTTAAAGACTACATTCTGCAGTATGGATTACACCTCAACATAAAAAAAGTAAAATCCTCACAACTGGACCAATAAACAGGACTAGAATAAATGGAGAAAAGATTGAAGTTGTGAAAGATTTAGTATTATTTGGTTCCACAATCAACACCAACAGAAGCAGCAGTCAAGAAATCAGACGATGTATTTATTGCAGTGGGCAAATTTGCTGCAAAAGACTTCTTTAAAGTGCTGAAGAGCAAAGATGTCTCTTTGAAAACTAAGGTGCACCTAATCCAAGCCCTGGTGTTTTCAATAGCCTCATTTGCATGTGAAAGCTGGACAATGAATAAGGAAGACAGGAGAAGAGTTGATGCTTTTGAGTTGTGGTGTTGGCAAAGAATACTGAAAGTACTATGGACTGCCAGAAGAACAAGCAAATTTGTCCTGGGAGAAGTGCAGCTGGAATTCTCCTTGGAAGTGAGAATATCCAGACTTCATCTCATCTACTTTGGTCATGTTGTCAGAATGTTGTCAGAAGGGACCATTCCCTGGAGAAGGATATCTATCATGCATGGTAAAGTAGAGGGTCAGCAAAAAAGGGGAAGGCCCTAGATGAGATGAATTTATACAGTGGCTGCAAGGATGGGCTCAGGTATAGCAAGGATTGTGAGGCTGGCACAGGAATGGACAGTGTTTCGTTCTGTTGCACACAGGGTTGCTGTGAGTTGGAGCTGACTCAGTGGCACCTAGCAACAACACTACTTTGACCTGTTGAGATCGTATTGCCCTCACAATGTCAATACACATCATCAGAACTTAAACTCAAAAGGAGCAACCATTTATACTGAAATTCCTTTACCCAGAAGAGCACTTGGTCCATGATAGGCAATTAATAATATTTGATGAAAAATAGTGGAGTTTTTAAAGATTCTCCAGGTCAGACTGGTCTACGATTTTGTGCTATTCTGGAGCCCCTAAGGCAAGAGGTGAGAGCTACCCATCTCAGGTGCAGAAAATGTTGTTGTTAGGTGCTGTTGATTTGATTTTGACTCCTAAAGACCCCATGTGACATACTTGCCTCACAGAGTTTTCTAGGCTGTAATCTTTAAGGGAGTAGACTGCCAATTCTTTCTCCTGTGAAGCTACTGGGTGGGTTTGAACTGCCAACCTTTTGTTTAGAAGCTGAATGCTTAACTGTTTGGACCACCACTTTGCCTATAAACATTGTTGTTTTTGTTGCTGTGTGCCTCAAGTCAGCCCAACTCATAGCGACCCCTCCTTGGGCTGCTGAGGCAGTATCACTACGGAAGTAGATTGCCCAACCTTCCTTCCAAGGAGTTAGGAAATATATATAAAGAATTTTAAAATAATAATAAAGCTAACAAAATTTGATCTGCTTTTTATCATCACTATGAGACGACAATTCTAAACAATGCCTGATGTAAGTTATAAACAATTGTTGAGGTTACTGTTGAGTTTTAATAACATATTTAAGCTTCAAATTAACACATTTTTATAGAACTGGGTCCCAAGATACAAAGACTGAATTCATATGTCTAATTACTATAATACTACATATTTGTACACTTAAATGGTGAACTTGAAATGAACAATGATTGTAACATCATTGTAAAGATGAAGAAACAGAACTCAAATTACTTTAATCCTACTATTTATTTGACCACTAGAGATTTTCTTTTTTTTAAAAAAAAAATTATTGAGCTATAACTTACATCTAATAAAATTCACTTATTCAAAGTGCAATATGTAGGACATTTCCTTTACCTCAAAA